CCCCAAAACCCCAAAACCCCAAAACCCCAAAACCCCATGAATCCTGATATAATGAAGATTCATAATAAGTATTATAATTGATAATTTTGCAAAATTTAAGTCAAATGGATAAAGCTAAGATCCCTCCAAAGGACACAAGATTCAAAACTGAAGATGTCACAAACACTAAAGGACTCACTTTCTAAGATTTTGGGCTTTCTTAGGAAGTACAACTAGTAAGAAATAGTTTGTGTAATTATGTATAAGGGTATCTATGAAATGGGATTTGAAAATCCCTCACCAATCTAAGAGGAAACCATCCCACTTGCTCTTGAAAATAAAAATGTAATTGCTAGAGCCAAAAATGGTACAGGTAAAACTGCATCATACTCCATTCCAATCATTCAAAAGATCGACAGCACAAAGAACTAGATTCAAGCCTTAGTTCTAGTTCCCACTAGAGAACTTGCCATGCAGACTTCCCTTGTCATTAAGGAATTAGGAAAACATAAGAAGATAGAGTCGATGGTATCTACAGGAGGAACATCGGTGAAAGAAGACATCTATCGTCTTTATCAGACAGTTCATGTCATCGTCGGTACTCCAGGTAGAATTTTAGATCTAGCTTCAAAGGGAGTAGCAAATTTGGAGAACTGCAATATGCTCATTCTTGATGAAGTTGATAAATTATTGTCTGTGGATTTCAAAACTATTGTTGCAAGAATCATTGAGATTATGCCAAAAACCAAGTAGATCATGCTCTTCTCTGCCACCTATCCAATTGAAATCAAGGAATTCCAAGAAAAGTACATTCAAGAAGCTAATTTTATCAATCTTATGGAAGAACTCACTCTAAAGGGAGTTACCCAATATTATGCCTATTTAGAAGAAAGAGAGAAACTACATTGCTTGAATACTTTGTTCTCGAAACTAGATATTAACCAAGCCATTATTTTCTGCAACTCTGCCAAGAGAGTAGAATTGCTAGCTAAGAAAATCTCACAACTTGGCTACTCCTGCTTCTACATCCATTCTAAGATGCAATAGAGTGATAGAAATAGGTAAGTATATGGAATAACACCTACATTTTAAATACCGCGTCTTAGTCAAATATGACTAATTCAAAATTTGTTTGTTTAACATAATAACTAATAAAACATATAGAATATATCACGACTTCAAGAATGGAGAGACCAGATGCTTAGTGAGCACAGATCTTTTCACCAGAGGTATAGATATCATGTCGGTAAACGTTGTTATCAACTTCGATTTCCCTAAGAACACTGAGACATATCTCCACAGAATTGGTAGATCTGGCAGATTCGGTCATCTTGGTTTAGCCATAAACTTTATCACCGAGGACAACAAGAGCGATCTATTCACTATTGAAGATGAGTTGAACACTAAGATCAACCCCATTCCTTAGGACATTGATAAAAATCTCTACACTGTCTGATGAGTACCTACGTTCGTTTTTGTGAAATGTAAACTCTGATGATTACTTTTACTTACTTACATTCAACATTTAACATATTTATTACACCAACACAAATACTAATCATATTCTTGATTCAAGGGGTTTTGGGGTTTTGGGGTTTTGGGGTTTTGGGG